CTCTTGGTCCTCACCAATTCTTTCCCCTCCAGCAGCTTCATAGTCCTTTTCTTCTTCATCTTGGTTGCCAGGGTCCAGCTCTCTGCCTGGCTCAGATGTCACTTTGCTTCTTGCCCACCATTTCCTCTCCCAGTGCTGTACCTAACGTGCTCTTTTGCTTCTCTGTGTACCACCTCTGCTAGCCTCATTGAGGCTGTCATGTCCCACCACCCTCCTCTCCTGTCCCACACTGAGAGCTGCCTCATCCACACAACCCTTTGCAACCCCCCGGCCACCTCATCTGATGCTCCTGCCACAGCAACCTGTCCCAGGACTGGTGAAGGCTTTGTTATACCCCAGGGATGAACAGTCCCTCACTGCACGCCAGTGCTGTACCCAAGGCAGGAGCAGCGATGTAGAGACGGGCTTGAGTGTTGCCAGAACAAAACTGCTTTCTGCAATCATGTCTGCAGGGCTGATGAAAGCAATTCCTTCTCCTGTTGAGCTGTGTTTCACCCTGTGGGGCTCAGGGCTGGGACATGTCAGGTATCCATGCTTCTGTGTGGGATCCTGGGACTGAGAGAGGACTTGGTCTGCCCCTGCCAGACACAACGTCCATGAGCCTTCAATACCTTTCCTTCATCCTCCTTCATCCATTACCTTTCCAAAATGACAACTTTCCTCCTTGCGATGCTCTGCCTTTGCTTCTCAGCAGCCTTTGTAAGCTGGTTTTCTCTTGAGCAGAATTGCAAGCTTGGATGTCCAGAGGCAGAGGTACTGTCTCCTGGCAGGACTTGGGCCTCTGGTTAGAAGCCTAAAAGCACCTCCTGAGAGCTTCTAGGAAGGCCTGGACTCTGGGAAGGGTGCTTGACATATCTCATATGCTTTCCTGCTCCATCAGGTGCAAGCCCACCTCTGTCCCAGGGATATGGCAGCTGTACCTGGCTGTGATGCTGCGTCACATCAGCTGTATCAGGAACAGGCATTCACACTGTTCCCTGCCCTCAGATCAGCCAGGGCATGGCAGTGCAGGAGGGCACCACTCCCCGAGGGCACCAACTTCCCCAGGTGCTATCCTGAAGGGGAAAGCCATTGGTCGTGGTGGGCTAACCTCACTCAGGAGTCTGGGGACATGCATCTCAGCCACAACCTGCTAATGAGCCCAGGAAGCAAGGCAGAGTGTTTGCCTGACAGGGCAATTAAATGATGATTGATTCCTGGAACAGCTACTTAATTCATCATTAACGGGTTTATCATAGCTGGCATCAGTGCCAAGGGTCCCTCTAAGAACTGCCTCAGGGGATGTGGTGTGGAGGTGAGATCTGTGAAACATAAAGCTATATTTGCTACCTCTTTATTTTCATGCCTTATTTTGGCTCCTTTTACCCGGTACTCGCCTTGAGAAGCTGAGTACACAACACAGCTGTGCATTTCTCACTCTGCTGGGGACCACTGCAACCGGGCTGGGGAGCATGGAGGTCCCTGCCCAGCCAGCTGGTTACAGGAGCAGCCACGCAGAGGGGGAGGCAATTCAGTAGGGAGCCCGCAGCTGTCAGTCGTCAGTAGAGCTGCAGCAATGGTTTGGTTTGACAAGGGCACTGAAGTCTGCCTCTTCCCAGGTGTGCCCTCCCCTGGGCTCCCGTTGTGCATGTATGCTTGTATGTGTGCACCATCCCTGTGCACTTAGCAGCATCTCACCACCATCACCTGCTGCCAGTCCTGCCCAGACAAGCCCCGTGTGGCTGATGGATATGCACGCTATCCAGGGTTGCTGATAATGAGGTCAGAGAATGGCCACTCTTTGCCAATTTTGTCTTTTATGGCTTCCTTGCTTTCATCTGCTGACTTCATTCCTTTCCTTTCCCCAAGCTCGGTTATTAACAAGCTGTCTTTATTACCAGGCTTACTTTATTACTAGGCTTACTTTATTAAGTCCCTGTGCAGCTAAATTCACTGTAGGATCCAAATAACCCAAAAGGGGTTTGGGGACAACTGCAGGGCTGGTGTAGCTCTTTCATTCCCTGTGTGTGTGCATGCAGGGTTGGTCCTTGCCCTCTCTGCCACTCCCTCTCTAATGTTATCTCTAGGGGTCTGATGGCCCTAGTCTATGCCTTCGAATCCAGATCATTTGGTGCACGGTCTCTATGCAATGTGCTAATCTTGGTGACTAAGGAGTGGGATGGAACTCTAATCCCTCTGACACTGGGACTCTTCACATCAGCTATTGGAGAAAAAGGTTTCAGCCTGGCTGCTTTCCAGCAGGTACACACTACAGCACACTGCTATAGGCATTTGTGATGCTGGCCCTCAGTGTCCCCTCTCCACCGCTGACAAATGCCGGGTCTAGGCACCAGAGTGCACTTAGTGGTCCTTTTGCCTATTTATCGGAAGCACGGTGAGATCTTCTGTATTTTCCCCTCATCTTTGCAGTTCTGTTATTGCCCTATCCTGCTCCGAGGGAGAGCATCGGCCCCAGCTCCCAAGAGTGGAAGGCAGCAAGGAAAAGAGAGTTTAATACAGGTAAATCTTTTAGAATCCCAGAGGGTACAAGGCTAGCATGGACTAAATCCCTTTAGCTGTAGCCCTGCCCCGTCCATGCTTTGTGCAGCAGCTCTGAGATCCTGGCCCTGCTCTAAGGACAGCCCTCAAAGGGCAGTTTGAGGAATCAAAGAGGTTTGGGCTCTCCCTCCTCCCCTGGGACAAAGCCTTCAGCCCTGCCCAGCCCACATTCACAGAAACTTCCCCATGCTTCAGCAGTATTTTCCTGTGGTTTCTTTTCCTACCCACACTATTGCTCTTCTAAGGAATGTTCACCCTGCGTTGTTCACTACCTGCAAACCCTCCCTGCCTCTTCCCCACAGCCCAGGTCAGTGAGCCATCTCCCAGCTCAAAGTCAACTGAGTACATGTCCAGCAGCAGTCCAGCTGCATGGGTGCACTCATCCTCCACTGGTTCTCTGGCACCTCCCAAACTGCCTTTTCGGTTTCCAATTCCTCCCAGCTCCTTTCCCTTCTTTCTCCCCCACGCGCTGTTTCCCAGCACTAGCTGCTGTGAATGTGTGGCTTTCCCACACAGCTCTCCCTTTCTCTAACCTGCTGCAGAAGACCCAAAGCAAGAAGCACAGCAACTTCCACACAGGCAGCACCCACTGCCCGGTGGCCAGCAGCCTGCCTGCAGTCCATATGCTGGTGTTTCTCAGCACATTTGGAGCCAGCTCCCTTCAGCAGCTCGCAGCAAGATCCCATTCCTCCCTACCCTAGCCTGCTGTCAGAAGCATTTCTTGAGATGAGGCATGGATGCTGTACCAAAACTGTCAACTTTCTCTTACTAGTGCTGGGCTTCTTCTTCTGCTTGGGCTGCTGCTCTCAAACAACACTCAGTGATTGATCTCTTCTTACTGTTTTATTCAAAAGAAAGATATTTTATTAGAAACCTAATTTGCATGTTAAGGTAGGCAAAGAAGAGGATTGTTGTTTCCTTGCCTGAAAACAGGGATGAAGCTTTGAGCTTCTCTGGGTCTGCGTAGAAATAAAACCACCTTTGATACAAATATGCATCTCTCTTAAATATTTTCAAAATACTTAACAGCCATCTGCTGCACAAGCCATTACAGGCTTTATTAGTAAGGTGGGAGACTGCAGAAGGCAGAGAATGGTTTTGGGGAGGGAGAAGTGGAGGGCGTTCACCAAAACACGCAGTTTTAGCAGAACAGCTCCATTTTCCATTACAGCTTTCTAAAATGTGATGACCACTGCCGGAACAAAGCCCATGGACAGGTCCATTTAAAACCATGTACGGCCCCCAAACCTGCATGGCATGGCAGAGTTTGGCCAAGGGACCACTTGAGCTTTTCACTCTCTGGGATCTTCAACTCCAACTTCTTTACTTTTATTTCCTCCTTGAGGACAGATTTAAAGCCAAGGTGATGTGCTGTCTATCAGAAAGCCTAGTGCACCTTGGGGAATCCTATAGCAGGAGGAAGTGTGCCTCTGCTACACAGCATCCTGCAGAGGACTCAGTGACTGAGGTCTCTAAGAAGGACAGGAACATTTGGGGTTGCAAGGCAATAAGGTGGCATGGTCTAGGAGCCAGGAAAGTGCTAGAGAGAGACCATAAAATGCAGGGCTCGGGTACTGAAGAGCACAAAGTAATTGTTTCTCTCTCCTGGGGAACACTGATATTTCACTGCACGTTTTCTTTGTGCCAAGGTGGGTTGGGAAGCCAAAATAGCAAATGCTCCTCTGAAGAAAAGGGGTGGAAATATTTAATCTCAGAAATTTTCATGGGGAAAAAAAAAAGCAGCACAAGGTTTCGACACTCTGAAATGGAGGAAGGGAGAGGGAGGTGAATTTCCCCAAGGAATAAACCCATGCTGACATTTGTAGCTGAGGATCCTGTTTGGACTCAGAATTTTCTGAAGCTGGTGGCCCAGAGCCAAGGCTGTACCGCTGCTGCGGTACCCAAGGGTGGAGCTGCTTTGATGTGATGGATCATTTACTTAGAATGTCATCATTTCAAAGTGGACCAAGCCCCCTGGGATCTCCCCTTTAATCTCGCATCTCTTTGTTCCTCCTCATGGCTGGCTGAGCATCCAACACTCCCACCCAAGCCTAAACACCACCTCCATGTCCTCACAGCAGCCCCCTGCCTTCCCTTGGTGGCTCACTGCTCTTGCCCCAGCTGCAGCTCAACCTTGGAGGAGCCCTAGAGAACCTCCCATCTACCTGCAAGTCAGTTAGGTGTATGTGTAATCTCCAGAGGGCTGTAATTCACTGTGCAACCCTCTGCTTTGGGAAGTCAGGGAGGCCCCTTGAGTGACTGTCAGCCTCTTAACTACTTCTGTGCTGTCTGTTAGGCAGCACACATTATGAACCAGCAGAAAAGATGCAGTAGGTCCTTTCCTGTCAGGCTGCACGTGGCCAACCCAAGATGCATTATAGATACACCAAATCCTCATCTTAATCCAGCCTGAATCAGATCATCTTGTTGCAGGGCTGCATCCTTATCTTACTACCAGCAGGGGAGAGACGAAGAGATGCTCTGTTTGCTGAGATAGCATTCAAGCTGTGCAGAGGTGGGGAGGACTCTTGTTTTCTCCATTATTGCCAATATTTTCTGTTCCCACTAGCCTCATCTCGACATCGACTCTGCATGGGTGAGAGGCTTTTCTGCTCCCTTGCCTTGCTGTAATAACAGCCTCTTCCCTTCTACCGCCTCTGCTCCTGCAGGATCTCTTCCCCCCTACCACCAACAGCATGGAGAGTGTGCGTGAGCTGCAAAACCCGCTCTTGGCCAAGGCCAACGGACACCTTCGCAGCAGCTATTCTTACCACCAGCATCACAGCCAGGACTACTCCAGTCATCACTGCCAAGGGAAACTGTATTCCTACATCTTCCAAAACGCTGGCAGTGCCAGGACTCACCAGCTGCTGGATGCCAGTTCCCTGCAGCTGGCTGTTGAAGCCTTGTACGGCCCCAGTTTCATCCTTGTGAAGGATGAGACCACTCTCAAGGCCAAGGACAGCAAAACAGAAAGTTGTGAAACCACTTTTACAGAAAGCAAAGAGGCTCCATCCGAAGCTCCTGAAAGGCACGAGGCGCAAGGGTCCTGCCTGGTAGAGAGTGACATCCGCATCCAAACTGTGTCCTATGAGGTGGAGGAAGATGAGCTCCAGGAGTACGAGGTGAGCTTTGCCAGGTGGGATGGCACTGAACTCCTGTGGTAATTCTGAACATGGGCTCAAATTCTCGGTAATTTATTCTCCCATTTTTACCCAGAGCTCCCCCCACACCCTACCATCTCCTGCCTCATCAGTCTCCCTGTGCACCCAGTATTTCTTCTTTCTCCTTATCATTTCTGCTCCTTTTCCCTCAGTGCTGACCTCAGAAAGAGGTCAGGTTCCCTAAGAGCAGCCCGCCTGCAGGCTGCTGGGAGCAAAAGGAAGGTGGGTCTCTGCAGAACCCTTGGGATATGGGGACCCTTTGACAAGGGCAGCCTGCTGCTGCTGTGGCACTTGAGCTGAGGAGAAGCAGCAGTTCTTGCATAACAGCAAAATTCATATGCCTCATGGCAGCAGCTGAGAAAAAGCTTATATATAAAGACAGGATGAATCCTGCAAAGGAAGAATGAGAGCTAACAAAGCAGCCTCATTGCTGTGCTGTGCCCCACCATGGCTTGAGCAATGGTGCCAAGGCTAGGAACATTGTCCAGGACCTTGAGAGGTGGAAGTGGGTCCCCGGAGCCCACTGGAGCTGATGTCTGATGACCCAGCACAGCTCTGCTGCTTTTGGTGTTGGTGATGTGGCCTTTTCAGATGGCATCAGAGGTGTCCCCACCTCTGCATGCCTTTTCCACTGAGACAAATCACTTCTAGGGTGGTCTGAGGCTGGCCAAGTGGTGCCCAAAGGCAGGAGTGTTGACTGCAGCCACTGAGCAATGTACTTACTGGGGGAGAGGGCATGTTGCCCCTGCAATGGAAGCTCCAATTCAGCTGCTTTCCCTCACTTCCTGAATTAGTTTAGCAGGATATTGATCTCCTAGTCTCTAATGGGGATAAGGCACTTTGTTTAACTTTGTTTAAGCTGACAAACAATCAGTTCTGCCAAAGCTGAAGATATTTCAGTTTAAGACTCTCTCTAATGCAGGGAAATCCCAGACCCCCAGCAAGTGAGCTCAGGATTTGCTCTGGCAGGGAGCCAAGAATCCATTCCACTTTTGAATTTGCTGAGCTACGTTGTTCTCCATTAAACCACGCTGAAGAGTCTAAAATATTTTTAAAATTTACTTCTTGAATTTGCTGGTGGGAATCATATGAAAATATGTGATAGGGCCAGGAGAGAGCAGAAGCTGGGAGGTGAGGGGCTGAGATGCAGCCGATAGTGAGGCACAGGGAGGTGGGCATGTGCTGAATTCATCTCGTTTTTCAGAGCGACTCCTCCAGCGACAGCGAAAGCGAGGATCATTTCCTGATGCTTCCCCCCAGGGACCACCTGGGTTTGGCCCTTTTCTCCATGCTGTGTTGCTTCTGGCCCCTGGGGATTGCTGCTTTCTACTTCTCCCAAGGGGTAAGAGATCTTGTTGCTTGCCTGTGTGTGCTGAGCACTGGAGCAAGGGCCCTGCAAGCCACAGCAGCCACACCTGGAGGGCCCTGCAAGCCACACCTGGAGGTGGCCAGCACCTTTCTGGATCTAAGGCTCATCTCTGTGCCATGGCCATAACTCTGAGGGTTGAGGCAAAGGGTGATGCTGGATGTCTCCACAGTTGTCGCGGGGTTGCAAGCCTTCCAGCTCTGGTGTGGGTTACTGGGGGTCAGGCTTTTCCTTTGGGTCTTCTGGGTGTTATTTAGGGAACTGGAATTGCTCTTGGCCCTTTGCCCAGCTTCTCACTCTGGCATTTTCCCACCTGTCCTCCCACTCTCCAGTAGAGCGGAGGTTCTACACCATGACCCAGATTGAGGCAGCTCATGCCATAGGAACCAGGCTGCTCTGGAAATTGGACACAAAGGAGATCCTGGTGTCCATATCACACTACAGCTCCTCTCTTGTACTTGTTTCTGATGCACATTGGCTAAGCTATGGGAGCCAATGCCAGGCTGGCAGAGGCTGGAGAGGGAGGTGGCCCTCTGGCTGCACCAGCTCAGAGGAGCTGCTGCCTTCTTGAGGGCTTAGCCCAGAGCCTGGGCTCACTTACTTAGTGTTGACCCAGAATAATTCATGCAGAGCTAGGGGATTTACTCCACATTTGCACAGATGCTTCTGTACAAAGAATAGGTGAGGGGAGGTATTAAGAAGTTAAATCGAGAGAATAGGAACAGAAATGGAAAAGTGTATTATATGAGTGCCTGGCACAGAGATGGTGAGAGGCAGGGGAAGCATTAATTGATTAGGACCCCAAGGAGCAGTTGATTTCACATTTTTCCACGTGGTGCAATATAGCACAGTGCACTCTCCATGTGATGACGTACGTGGGGCAATTTATATCTAGCTCCATAACTACCCCTTTTGTTCACTCACTGAGGCAAGGACCATCTCTTTATTCGACGTCTGTGCACAGTGATCTCCATGTGGCAACTTGAATACAAGTAGTAGGTAATACCAAGAGCACTTAGAATGTGCCCTGAGCACTTAGAGAAGCTGGAAGTTGCCATCACAGAGAACCAACACCCACATCTGTCTCCACTGCTGGCTCCATCAACCCTTCTATAGCAAATAGGCTTCAACCAAAAACCCCACACATGAAAAACCAGGTGGCAGCAGAGCCAGACCAATGGACCACGCTGTCTGGAGTCAACTCCCTGAGACTAGGCAGTACTCAGTACATATCTGTACAGGGTATACTGGTATCTAGTTGGTGCCGCACAGCAATCACCCCAAGCACCAACCATTTGCCTGCTCTTACAAGGGTCCAGCCTCCCGCTCACAGCTCTGGCTCAGTGCCCAGATGGGTGCTTTCAGACAAGCAGCTGAAGCCCACGCTTCCCTTGGAGGCAAAATCCACAGGGAAATGTGTGTAGGTGGCACTGCTGTTCTGAGCCCTCCCTGACTGGCAAACACCGTGCTGTCTGTTCCCAGTTGCCATGGGACAGTGACCAGGGAAGGGAGACTGACTCAGTAGTGAAACAATTGCATGGTGAGTAAAAGGCCAGGTTGATACAGCTGTGAGCAACAAGCATTTCTTCTCCTTCCAGACCAGCAAGGCTGTCTCCAAAGGAGATTTCCATCTGGCCAGTTCAGCTTCCCGCCGAGCTCTCTTCCTTGCTGCGCTCTCCATAACCATCGGCACAGGAGTGTACATCGGGGTGGTGGTAGCACTGATTGCTTACCTCTCAAAAGGGGGCCATGTGTAGCTGCCACCTGCATGTCACTGCCATCCCTGGCTGGGGCCCTCCTGGGATTGAGCTTTCCTGTGGAGCACAGAGCACCAGTGCCTGCAAAGGCTGCTTGCACAGCCAGACCCTGGCATGGATGCACTATGCAGGTTTTTTCTCCTTTCAGAGAAACAGTAAATCCCTGTTCTCTCCAAGGCTGTAGCGTGCCACCATCCAACAACAGGGAATTGAGAACCAGTCTGTCTGCTGGGACCAGGAGGAGCACATTTGCCTGATGGAAGATGTGCATGCTGCTACTGGGCTGGTGCCACCACCCCTCATCTGGGGCCACAGCTTCCCTTCTCAGCCCTGTAGCTGGGAGAGCCATTGCTGGTGCCCAAGCTTGGCCCACGAAGAGGGCACACAGGGAGGAGAGGGGATATGGGGCCAGAGAATGACCGCTGTTTCTTCCAGGAGGCCCGAGTCCTGGTGGGGTCTCCAGACTCCTGTGATGGGGACAGCATTCTCACTTCAGCACCACGGGGTGGCACCTGGCTCCTCAGATGCAGTGAAGTAGAAGGACAGAGCATGAACAAGACCAAAGGGCATGCTCTACACATCCCTCTGCTCTACACATCAGATCCCTGATCCACAGGAGAAATCCCAGTTGCTGGCCCATCCCAGAAGCAAGGAGGAAGGCAGGCTGGTGGTTGCACAACATCTCTTCCATTCCTGGTGCAGGCTGGTAAAGACAGCAATGTTTTCTCCATGTTAATAATGACTGTCATGATGATCCCAAGTCTGAGCCCCCATACAGTTGCCATCCCAGAGTGCTGGGCCCTAAAAAGACTTGTAATTGAAATCTCTACTCAAGAAGTGACCTGGGAGGGGTGAAAGCCTGAAGGATTCTACTCTTGGCACTAAGTCAGGGCCCTGCACACAAAGAAGGATGGAAAGAAAAGGCTGACATCACATGCAGAGTCTGAGGTGGGAGTGCTGTTTGCAAGGGGATGAGATCCAGAGAAGGAAGAGACATGGAGGGAGCCCAAGACACAGGGGGTGACCCCAACACACTCCTTCCCATGCCTTGGAGAGGGATATCTCCATCCTTCCTAAAGCCTCTGCTGACAAGGAAATCCCCAGCATCCCCACATACATCTTCCTTTTGCTTACTTGTATATTGTCAGACATGTTAAGTACTTCAGAGGTGGGTATGAAGGCAATGGCTGCCCCAAAAAGGCATTAAGAGGCTATGCCTCACCCCCCACTCCCCAGCATCCACCTTGACCATGCCTCCTCTCCCTGGCCATGGCTCCCCTGTTGCCTCTTTCCCTCATGTGCAGGGGACTGCAGGCAAACTCTGGGCACCCCTCACCCCCTTCCCAAGGTTTCTGGGCAGGCTGCAGCCAGCTTTGCAAGAGGCACAACATGTTCCTCCAGCTGGGTGCCATTCAAATGTACATTTCATACTAAAGAAGCATGTTAATGTCTGCAATTGCTGTTGTACTTGAGCCATAAAAGAGAGAAGCGCATCAGAGACCTGTACAGAAGCTGATCTGAAACTTCCCATTGCGTTTTATAACATGGAAGAGCTAATAAAAAAAGCAGGAGAAAAGTCTCTGTTTATAAGAATGTGGAGCTGGCTAGCAAAGAGGTGAGCTTTGCAGGAGTGTCACGCTTACTTAAACCTGGAGGTGTTTATGCTGTTCCCAAAGGAAGTTATAATCTAGCCAGTGTCTGGGCAACTTGGAGGGAGATGTATTTCAATGCAGATCACAGTGAGCAACTAACACTGAGAGCGGGATGGTGGTGTAGGCTGTTTTCCCTGTGTGGAAGGGACGAGAATTAGGGAGAGAGAGACTGGAGCAATGTGTGTGTTCTGGCTACTGTGTGTATAGCAGAAGCATAAAATAAAATGTGCTTGAAGAGGGGCAAAAGAATACAAACATAGGAGGGAACAAGCAGATCTTGCTTCTGATGGTGGACAGAGACAGAATTTGCAGGGAAGGGCTGGGGTGTCCAAAAGAGATGAGATGGCTTAGAGAGGAGTGATAAGGGGCAGACTCACCCAGCAGCTGAGTGACAGTTTTCATTGCCCTGTCCTGCATGTGCTCAGCCATCCTGGCTGTCCATCCCTCCAAATAACCAAGCAAGACAAGAGCACTATTTCAGAGAGGGGATGTCTGTGGGTACCCATGCAGCCGGGGCGACCAGCCCCACAAGCCCCAGCTCATTGCTGTCCCAAAAGCCCTCCTTGTCTATCCCCTTCAAGCACCCCCAGCTGGGGGGCAGGGGTGGAGGCTTCCTACCAATTCTGGTCCAGACAAAATCATTGGGGCTGCTAGACCAAAATCTACAGTAAGAAATTGCATTTACCTGTGCATTTGTAATTCTTCCAACTGGATTCCTCCAGGGCTGCCATGGGTGGGGGTGGGGTCAGCAGCCCACTCCCCATGGGCAGCCTGTGCCCCTGCCCCCCAAATTGCTTCTTTGACTTTTTTTAATTGGAGATGCCTGGGGAAGGACAAGGCCAAAGGGCCAACAAAATTAAAGTATTTTCCACTAATAGCCTGAATCTCTGATGACCTTGGGGGCGGGGAAGAGGAGAAGGGGCTGTGCCACAGCATCTGTAAGGGGGGCATTATGCAAATAGAGAAATTAGTCAGAAACCTGAAGGGAAAAGTGGAAATTGAAATCTGAGGACCAGCATGGAGATCGCTGCTGAATAACTTATTACAGACTCACAGTGTTACTGCAGCCACCTGAGCAGAAGGGAAGGAGGCAAAAAGGCAACAAGACACAGCAAAGGAACACACAAGCTCCAGAAATTTGATTAAGCTTAAAAAAAAAGTTAAATAAGCCATGCCAGTGGCTGTGGAAGAGGTGTCTCTTCACCCCCTCCCTCCTGTCCTCCCGGAAAAGGGGTCCCTCTCCCAACCGGCACCCCCAGCCCTACTCCAGAGCCCTGTAATGGTCCTGATCTCAGAGGGAATACTCAGAAATGCAAAGGAGGGTAGGAGGGGCAAAGGAGGAATAGCTTCAAGTCCTGGCCTGGAAACATGTCTAGCCCAGAAAGGAGAAGGGAGCCTGGCAGGTCACAGCTCTAGGAGGCGATGCAAAGGGCAGCAAGTGCAGAGACCATCTGTGCCTGTGCAAAGGGGCGATGGGGAAGTGAGATTTCTGGTGGCTGATGAGGGAGGATTTGGGGTTCTCTGAGAAGGAGGTGGAGGAGGGTCAATTAAACAGTGATATCTTACAAGAGTGTACACCACAACCTGCTGTCCTTCCCTGTATCCTTTTTAAAAAATAATCATGAGGTGCTGAAGAGTCCCATGACATATCAGAATAACTCCTCTATTCATGAATAATGTGTTTTTCATAATTAGGATATCTCTCTGCAACTGAGTTCCCCACACTCTGGCTGCGGGTGCCTGTCCCTGTGCTGTCCAGCACCCCCAGCACAGATGCGGTCCTGCAACCCTGGCCCCAGCAAACCTGGTCCATTGCCCTCCTGCCCACTGCTCCCTAAATGACCATGTCCTGGCCCAGTCCCCCCACCAGTACTCCCAGCCATTGTCCTAAGGTAGTGACACCAAGAAACAGACACAGAAAGTCACCAGAAAGCTCATTCACTCCCCATCTCCCCAAATCTGTGCCCAAACACCCCTCTCTTGCCTCATACACTGGATTTTGGGTTGCAAGAAGTATCATGACCAGGTATCCCAGATGCCCTCCCTGCTGTGAGGACAAGACCTTGGGGACCAAGCCAGACCCACTCCCTGGGTTGGCTGAACATGCCCTCCATTCCTCCCCTGCCTTGGAGATGCTCCTCACTCAGCCAGGAGTTCAGAACAGCAGTGTCTGAAGTGCACTGGGATTTGGTTTCTTTTGCCAGCAGCGGAAAACACGCTCTTCCATCTTGGGCTTCTTCTGTCAAGGTGAGCACTTCCCAGGAGGCCTTTCTCTTTAGAAACAGCTAACGACAGGGTGGAGTCTGTACCAAGGGTGGGGCTGGCCTTTGAATCTTGCCTCCTTCTGGGATACAGCCAAGAAGAAAGCTACCAAGGGAAAAACCACCAGCACCTCAGTGCAGATCTGAGCAACCAGTGCATCTGAGCTGCCGCCTGCTTCCCCCAGCTCTGCTCACACTGCTTGCCCCTTGGCGAGTGCTGTGGCATGCCAGAATGGGGCCACTGGCTACAAATGGGGCCTGGGGAGTGCTAACAAGGGATGCTGGGATGGAACCCTACTGGATCTTGCTCCTCTTCCCTCAGGGATGAGGCAATAGAATGGAGGAGAAGGAGAAAGAAGCCGGTGCGGTTTGTGGGGGAGACAAGACCCCTGTAGGCCCCTGTCCCCAGACAAAGAGATTCACTGGTCCTCCCAGCCTCCTCACCTGCTCTGTTTGTGGTCAGCCCCAAGGTGGGTTATGTGGAAACCACAAGGGCTGGGCTGGACATGAGGTATCCTTCCTGCTGCACTCCCTGCACCTTTACTGCCTGGGAGGACAAAGCCCCTTGCAGTGGCAAAGCTACCACCTGCTCTCTGAGCAGCACATGTCAGTGGGATGGGATTGTAACCATGCTGATGGGACAGAAATGCCTCAGTTCTCCCCCCATCTTTCCTCTGGAGGCTGGTGAGAAGAGACACTGGGAAATAAAAGCAGAGTAAGTCCTTTGGCTCACTGAATGGCACAGTCAGTGTTTTCCCTTCACAGTAACCTCGTAAGGAAATAGCTAATTATCTGAGACAGGGCGTCTTCTATTTCTGCCCCAAAAAAATTAAAAATCATTTAGCAGTGCATCTCTTCAGTTAGCTTATCCTTTCCTCTTTGCTTCCTCAAAACAGCCTGCAGTGGAGAGAGCATGGGGAGGCACAGCCTGTGGCAATGCCATCTCTCCTGGGGCTGGCAGGAGAGGATTTTTGCAGAGAGAAGCCAATTAAGAGCCATTACTCAGGCATCAGCTGCTGGGAAATCAGGAGTCTCATTACCTCTCCTCTCCCTGCAGATGTAGGCACCGGCTCACTCTTCCACAGCCTCCAGTAGCCACAGGTGCAGGAACACACTGCTGGGGTTGAGCTGTCCCCACGGGGCAAGAGGACAAGTGGTGTCAAGAGGGAACAGAGCGCTAGGTGGGCACACCTTGCTGAGAATAAGGCAGATGCTGTCCCCATGGCCAGTGGGGAGCCATGGGGCTTGCTGTGATGCCACTGGAGGGGTGACACACTGGAGGGTGTTGGCATCACCCTCCATTGCTCATCTGTCCCTTTTGGTGCCAAAGTCTATCCTAGCACAGCCCCCTCCCCAGTCCTTGACCAAGCAGTATCCAGGCATAGGGACATTTGGGGAATACATCTACAAGTGCGCTGCTCCCAGCAAAGCACAGGAGCTATCTTGTGAACTGTAACCCTTTTGCCATCCTGAGATGCTTTTAAGACCAACAAACCAACTGCCTGTGCAAAATCTGGAGGCAAAGTCATGCTTGAGCTAACACATACCAGCTCAGTGCTTGGGCATAATCAACTATTCCGCTGCGCTGCACTGGCCACCTTCTGCACCTGCAAACTCCCTCCCACGGACACGAATTGGGTGCATTAGTGGCAGAGCAGAGCCCTAAATTGCAGGTAGGTGGCAGGCTGCTGTCCAAGTGCTTTGCAGCCCCCCAGCCTTTGCTTTTCAGTCACCTTTTAATTTTCATCTTTTCTGGGGTCAGCGCTGTAAGCACCTCTGTGTGAGGAAGTTTAGGTGGCACCTGAGCTAAACTTCACTGCACACATGCAAAGAGAGAGATTTACCATCCAGTATCTGGATGTGGAGCAGCTGAGGCTGCCTCAAATTCATCTCCCACCACCAGCTCAAGATGAGAGCAGCACGACATGTACAAATCAAGTGCAACAATTTCCCCCCCATTTAAGCTCTTCTCAGCCACAAACCACATCAATAAATAATGAACACCCACTGTTTAGGTGATGCCATGGTGGCAGTGACCCACCATGGCCTGCTGCCATCAAGGCATAAGGAGGGAGAAACATAAAGGCACTTGAGGCACTTGTAAAATCCCTCAGAGGGATGAGTATTATTTTCCTACCATGCCCCTCCCTCCTCCCCCCCCCTCCCCCAGGCATCCAGCTAAGGGTAGAAAATCCATCACACCTAAATCTCTTCACTAGGACTTCCAAAAAACATCTTGCAAGGGAGCCCAAGACCAGCACCCAGAAGAGATTCATCCTGCAACTGCCCAGGTGTGATGCTTGCAGCACTCCCAGTTAAGGGAAAGTTTGGTGATGGGAAGCAGGAGAAGCCTTTCCTGCACTCTGCAGAGCACTGGGTCCCACAACGCAGGCTTCCCCCAGGCTCTACTGATGCCCAGCTGTCTCCAGCAGCAGCTGACCGCCACCCACCCTGCTCTGGCATGCTAATGGATGCTCCAGCCCTGCTGCCAGACACAGTCTGCCCCAGCTTCAGTGCCACCCACATGAACCTCTGTCAGCACCCACAGGCAGAAAACTCACTCTCCCTGCTGCTTCCTTTGGTTCAGACAAGGAAGGGAACACTCTTGGGGGTCTTGTGTCCACCTTCAAAGCTGCTGCTGCAGCCACTGAAAGCAGCTGTCTCCAGCCTCCAGCAGTTTGGAGACGCAGGTAATCTTTCTGGAGTAATTACCAGATCACTCCCTTAGAGGAGTTCATAGATGAGTCCTCCCTGGCAGCTAATTACTCCAATTACTTCCTGACACACAGAGCCCAGGGCTCTCTGCAGTAGTACATAGCAGTGCTTGGCAGCTCCCTGCTTCCCTTGCTCCCCATGTGCTTCCCTTCCCACAGCACCCCTGCCCCAGAACCCCCCCTGTGGGACCACACAGGGTATTGCTGGAATGTATGGATGGTGGTGAGATCCCACCATCACTAAGGACAAGGAACTAAACGGTTTAAGAGATGCCCCAGATGGTGGCTCAATGCTGCTCCTCCTGCGCTGCCCCACCTCACAGCTCAAACCCAAGAACACCACAGGACAACCCTGAGCACCCCTTTCTCCTGCAGGCTACTACAGAGAAAAATTCAGCCACACTTCCTAGCATAGGGCCTCTCTGCCTAGGAGGCTCACAGGGAGCGAACCCAGACTATGTCAGGAGCATGACTGGGCTGCAGCAGTCAGTGAGAGGTTCCAGATATCTTGAGAAAGGAAAAACAAGTTATTTGTGAGCAAGACTGGGGGGAGGAGGACAGATGGGGAACAGACACACCACAACATGTGTTATAGCATCTCAACTCTAACAAGGTCACCAGAGCTCCTAATGCCTCTGCAAAGACCCTGAGGATAAAAAAAAAAAAAGACTCAGGTCTGCCAACTCAGCCTCAGGGGCTGACCTTGTAAATACAGGCCTCAGGAAGCTCTCTCCTCACACCAGTAGGTTGCTCTGACTCCTGGCAGCTTCCAAGGAAACAAGAGCAGGTACTGCAATTGTTACTACAAACCTCAATGTTAGCAGCCAGCCCCAACCTCCTACAGTTTAGTCCCACAGAGCCATGCTGGCAGACACCACAGGAAAACACACACACTAAGGGGATGAGGCTTTCTGGAGTCAGGCAGAGACTTTGCACCCCAAGATGCTCATAGGGCAGAGGTGCAAACAGCTGGTTTCAGCCTCCCAGTACAGCACCACTTCAGGGCAGGACCACCAGCATCTCAGACATTGCCACTGCATCCCTGCTGTCACACAGGCCTGTGCCCACTCATTCATCTCCAGCCTTGCATCTGATCTGGGAGGCAAGCCTTGGCCCCTTACCAGGGAGACCACAGCTCCAACCAGGTCTTCAGAGCGCCACCAAGCAGCAGATTGTCCCCAGGGCCCAAGAAGCAGAAGAGGACCTTCTCAAAAGCAGGGACTGAGGTGTGCACAGTCTCTCCCTGCCCACAAGACAGTTTTAGAAAGCAGACAGGGAAGGGAAAGCCTTGCCTAGAAATCACACAGCATGAGTTAGAAACCACACAGGACTAAGAGTAGAAGAGTCTTTATTGCTTTGGTTTCTTACAAGTGAGATATATGCACCCAGACTTGCTGCTAGGAGAAAACCATGTTGCTTGCAGCACAGCGCAGGGGATGCAAGGACACTGGGCACAGAAGTTTCAGTCTCTCTGACTTCTCCCAGGCACCAGGGAAGAGAGACCCTAGAAAAGTAAGGCAGCTGCCAGCTCAGGAAGCAAAGGTTTGTGTAAAAGGTTATTGCTACCAACCTCTGCTCGTCTAGGAAAGATCAGAACAACCCAAGGCAGGTATTAAGAGCCAGAAAACCAAGTGGCATCAGCACTGACCCCAAGTGAAGGTTTTATTCTCCTTAGCTGGGAAGAACCCAGAGCAAAGATGCTTCTTGCATAAAGCTGAGCACTCCCCAAGCCCCTCCTCACCCATAGCTGAGCCAGCACTACTCTGCTCACTGAGGACATGCTGGGCACCTCCACATCACTCATTCAAGGCACTGCCCGGGGCAGAGAGGCCTTCACATCCTCCATCTCAAGAGGTCCAGCAGCATCTCACGACACTGACACACTACTGCCTCCCTTGCTCATCCCCTGAGCGCAAAAAAGAGGGAGAACAACTTCCTGGCCCCTCTTCCTTTGGGGCAGCTCAGCGCCTTCTCCTTCCATTCTTCCAGTCTCTGGGAATAGGTGCTGTGAGAATGCTCGCATACCTGATTGAACCACACAGAAAATAAAGCCAGAGACTAGGAACAAAATAACACAAAACCAGAACAAAAGTTAGAGTGAGGCCCCAGCCCAGACACCCCACCAGAAAGCCAAAGGGCACATCAGCAGAGGATCTGTGGCCAAGCCAGCTGGCAACTGGCACTCAGGCATCCACCAGCGTCAGCCCATCATGCAGGGCACGCTTCCACATGTAATAGGTGGAACGGGCTGTGAGTGGGAAGCGGGCACTGAACTCCTTGTAGGTTGGGAAGTTCTTCGACTCAAAGCGCTGCTGCAGGAACAGCTTGGCCTGTGCCTTGAACTGGGCAGTGGCAATCACATCCATCACAAACATGCGGCTGTTGGCTCTGTCTGACATGGCATAGCCCGAAATGGTAGTGTTGCACGGGATGGCAGGCACTGGCTTATCTATGTGCTTGGTGGCTCCCTCCACTCGGCACTGGGGCTTGAGGCCTGGCTCCACTCTTGGAGGCACCAGGGAAGCCACACGGTTCAATGGCTGGCTGGAGCTAGTCCAGGGCAGGCGATGCTGCCCAATAGCTTTGCCACTGCCCTTCCAAAACCAGTAGGCTGTGGAGGAGAGAGATGGGTAGCGCAAGCGGTACTTGCAGAACGGCAGCTGCCATTGCTGGACCTGCCTCCTGGCCACATCTCGCAACTGCATTCTCCAGCACAGAGAAGGCTTGAGCTGCAGGAGACTCCTGGGCGCTGGCCGGTCTCCATTTCGTCTCTTCCTAACAGGCACGCTGTTTGGCTTCAACTGCAGGAATGGCTTTCCTATAGGTAGAGTTTTCTGGTTATCCAATGGTGACTGGGGGTGTTTGAAGTTGGGGTTCTCCTTGATTGCTTTTCTTCGCCAGTTGTAGTAAGTGGACCTGGAGATGCCAGGGAAGCTGCGTTTGAAGCACCTGTAAGGCACCAGAGTGTTCATAGAAATGCATTTCTCTAAGTAGGATTTGGCTCCCTGCATGAAGATTCCTGCTTGGATGGGGTCTAGGGAAGGACTCTGGGATCTTAAGCTCGCCTGTGAATTAGCTGGCTCATTCACATCAGCCTTTTTTAGAACATCCCTGTGAAGCTCCTGCAACCTGTGAGCCTCAGACAGAGCAGAAGCATCACCATTGACCATGCTCTGCATCTCATGCTTCCAGGCATAGTATGTGGATCGGGAGATTTCTGGAAACATTTGTCGGAAGTGCTGGAGGGGGATTATATTGCCCTCCTGAAAGCAGGACTGAAGGAAGTGTTTAGCTGCAAACCTGGCAGCCGCTTTCTGCCGGTGTTCACGAGACTGGCGCTTCCAGCGGTAGAAGGTGCTCTTGGTAATGCTGTACCGGTCACGCAGGTTAGAATAGGTCAGCTGGGGGTCACTGTTCAGCAGCTCAAGGGTCTTCATGGGCTGGACAGGAGGCTCTGGTGAAGGTGCTGTGGGTTCTAGTTCCTCCAGGCCAACCACAGCCACAAAGTACTGCGCTTTGAAGACCTGCCGAGAGAGCTGCTGCCCCGACCACATGATGTGGAGTGTGGAGGTTTGCGGGCCGCACTTTCTGGGCCGGATGAGCCGGTTGAAATAGGGACGGATCTTCAAGTTGCTCATGGGATAGATAGAGTAGATGTTACACTGCAGTACTGAGGCAAGGGCATAGACATGCCACATGTTGGCAAAGGTGCCAGGGAAACAGGTAGCTTTGATATCAGCATCGAAGATGGCCTCCAGGATAGCCATGGGAAGGCTGGTCATCTCCGGGGTCTCTTCAGTGCAGAGGGAGTAGCGGGCAGCCTGCAGCATCACTTTGGAATCAATCATGCCATTCAAGTAGTATTGCTTGTGCAGCAGCATCTCCACGACGGTACGCACTTGCAGCTCCAGGCTGAGGCTGGGGTTGCCCCAGAGCAGCACACTGGCAGCCTCAAAGAGGCGGTTTCCCTCACCTTTGCAAACGAGAGGCAGCATGTTACTTGGGGCATCCTCAGGATAGAGGCTCCTGGCTACCCGGTCAACCTCTAGCTCATCTTGGAACTGACTCCCACAATAGCCAGGCAGGGAGAAAGATGACAGGGTCCTCTCCGCCTCCAGTGCAGCACTGGTGAGACCCTCCAGGCCAAAGCATTCAGTGGCTTCTTGTAGCTCCTGCAGCACAGACTGCACCAGCTGGTGCCGCTGGATCATCCTGAAGGATGGCAAAAAGAAAGAATTCACTAGAGATGAAAACGGTGTACAGTACAGACTGCCAGGGGCCTGGCCTCCAGGTCCAGCTCCTGCCCAAAGAACAGGATGGGGGAAAAGGTAGAGGAAAGGCCACTGCTCACCCCTCCACCCACACTCCCAAGGACAAAAGGAGGAAGCCTGGGTCCTCACAGGCAGACCTGGGACCGGGACAGGAGCTCAGCTTGCTCTCCAGTGACCTCTGTGGGCAGCACACATTGCACACATCCTCCACATGTCTCAAGTGAAACTAAGGAGTGACTGCATCCATTGGGGTGGGAAGCCACATCCCCTCCCACCCCTGCACGCCTGGCTTTGTGCCTGGCATCACTTCTACACCCACCTCCCCCACCAGTACCTCCATCCTTTCCATTTTACCATTCCCCTACCAGCACCGTGAGAGAAGGGTTTCTCTCAAAGGGAAAGCATTTGTCACCTCCGCAGGAAGGGACCTGTGACAGAACAACACTGCATGCCGATATGGAGGATCCTGGCTCAAACTGTTCAAGCTCAACAGAAGAAGCAGCAAGGAGCTTGTCCCCTCCCTCAGAGGGGAGCACTGCAGCTGCAACCATTGCATGCACTGAAAACTGCCATAACAGAACCTGGGATGAGAGGAAGAGACAGAGCCAGCCGAAGCCACAGTTACTGCTGCCTGAGCTGACACTAGATGTCACTTGGTGCTCAGCAGACACACACTACCAGCCAAACAGAAGTCACAAGAGGAGGGCTTCTGCTAGATGAGCTACAGGGCAAGAGGCAACTGGAAAGTGCAGACCTGAGTGGGTAGTTCAGAGGCTGTATGGAGCCCTCCTCCCTGTCTGAGCTGGTCCCAGTCCTGTCCTCCCTCCCTCTGCATGCCAGTTCCCACTCATGCAATACAAAGGGTCAAATCTGCCTTCTCCTTTTTGTCCAGCTTTTAGACACCTCTATGGCTCTGCCCCCACCACTCCCAAGGGCTTTCATGATGGCTGCGCACTCTTTCACCTATGGTCCAGCTTCATCAGTGCAGCCCTCTTCAGCATCCTTTCACCACCAGCCTGCCCAGTCTCTCCCACTTGAGCCAGTTTTCTCCAAAGGACCACAACACTCAAATAAGAATCACAATCTCCTCCATTTTCTCCTAAGGTTTATTCCCATACTGCCCCCAACATGTAGGGCATCACTTTGCAGCCTACTTAATTCACATCCCAGCCTGAGCCCACCTTCTCACACTTCACAGATATCATTATGCACTCACAGCTCCGAGGAGAGATGGGCAACAGCAGGGCCAGGCAGGAAAAGCAGGAGCTCAATAAAACAGATATCCTGCCTGACCTCTCCCAATTCTTAGCCCTGCTGCAGATATGGTTATTATTGCTGTAGCATCTACCATACCCCATGACCAAACCACAAACAAAATGAGGTACCAAAGAATCCCATGGACACATACAGGCTCTTCACCACAAGGAGCCTCTCTGCTGCTGCTGCCCCTTGCCTTTAGTCAGACTACAGGTAGTCACCATATCCAGTCACTTCCCCTGCTCCAAACTCCTCCAAGATCTGCATGTCAGAGGCCAGAACCATCTTACAGCTGCTCCCACAGCTGTGGGGCATCAGTNGCTGCTGCCCCTTGCCTTTAGTCAGACTACAGGTAGTCACCACATCCAGTCACTTCCCCTGCTCCAAACTCCTCCAAGATCTCCTGCATGTCAGAGGCCAGAACCATCTTACAGCTGCTCCCACAGCTGTGGGGCATCAGTTATCAGAGGCAAACACAGGAAAATGCACACAGCTGTGAAGCAGAGAAGATAAACTGTCCTAAAATCCTGGTCTGAGGAAGTATGGGGTTGTCCCTTCAGGTTAGGTGTGTATTGTTATTCTCCTGGAAGTTCAGAGAAGTTTACAAATATTTTGACTAAGCCTGTGGTAATATGTGCTTGAGGAGCTGAAGCAAAGGCATCCCTCAGGAGAACTGTAGGGCTGACAAAGCCCAAGTCCTCCTTCTCTGGGGCCTGTCAAACCCTTTAGGGCCAGCCACCTCTCTCTGCAGCAGCCACTCCTTCCCCTTTCAGCAGCCACAGCCTGCCACTGTCCCACCAGCAGAGCCAGGAAAGGCAAGACAGGCTTTTTTTCCCCTGGAGAGGGTGAGGAGCTGACATAGGCTAGGGAGCATCAGCAACAACCCTGGTCTTTATGTCCTTGGGGCATTTCCCACCCCCTTACAGCTTGGGGGAGACATAGGGAGAGAGAGCTGGGGGCACAGGACTTACGCCTTTTCTTCAGTGACAACTCCACAGATTCAATGTCACTGCCAGCTCCTGCTGCCCAGAGCAATCCTAAGGCAAAACCCACAGCTGAAATGGTGGAGCGGGGCTTGGGTAAATCAGAAGCAGAAGTCAGACAAGCTGGGGGGCTCGGTTCATTGCCAGATCAAACCCAGGCAGCTCTCAACACAGGGGACCTGCTACAAAGGGAACACTTCTCCCCGCACACCCCCAGGGAAGCCAGCTGAACACGACAGACAAGTGCTCACTAAACTGCCTCAGCACCAAGAGGTAAGCAAGGGAGCTTTTCACAGCAGATAAAAGAGGTTTTACCTAACCTGGCTGCTTTTGCATTGTAACAGATAAGGAAACACTTGAAGATCACATTCCCTCACCTAAACTGATGGGCTGGTGGCATCCAGTAGTGCAAGTTCCCCCAGCCAGTCCCAAAAAACGCTCCCACCAGCAGGAATCTTGGAGACTTCAGCTCCTGCCGCCCGGGCTGCCCGGCAGCATTGGCACCTCGCAGAAGCAGGGGTGTCCATGCATCCCAGCCCAGCTGGGTTAGGTGGCTTGCTTCCCAGTCCCAGCTGCGGGCTCAGGGCACCCCATCGGTAAAGGCTCTCATTTGACCGTACAGCAGGAGCACAGAGGCAGTAGTCTCCAGGAGCTATCTAGGCTTGAAACATCACCGGGGGAGTTTCAGTGGGTGAGTAGCACTGGCAGCTCAGGCAGCCTGCTCAGTCTGCCAATACCCACATGGCCACCGAAGCCCATGAACATCGCTCGCCGGGAGAGAGAAAAGCCTGGGACC